AAAAAGTTTTTTGTTTTTAAATCCAAGCTATTGTGACACCAGATGTAATTGGTGGCACTGACTGGGGAAATGGGCACTGTGAGCCTGACACAGAAGCTGGCAGCAGTGGCAGACAACTAAGTGCATTTACATTACATAGAAAAATAAAATAAAAAAAAAGCATACCCTTATCCCTAACCTAGCTATGCTTTTCCCTATCTTATGAACAGCAGCTACACTTTCCCTCCTCTTACTAAGCATGCAGCTTGAGAATGAATCTAAAATGGATGCTGTCCAGTAGGTGGGAGGGTCTGCTAGGGAGGCTGTGCTGCTAATTGGCTGGAATGTGTCTGCTGACTGTGAGGTACAGGGTCAAAGTTTACTCAATGATGACGAATAGGGGGCGGGTCGAACCGCGCATATGATCGCCCGCCGTGGCGAACGCGAACATGCTATGTTCGCCAGGAACCGTTCGCCAGCGAACCGTTCGGTACATCACTAGTCTCCAGTCAATAGTAGGGTTGATGCAGACATAACCAAGGATAACCCAGTACTACTGAGAAAGAAAGGTAGGTGATCACCTGAAAACATAAATTCTCTGTATTTAACAGACCAGAACACATTGTCAACTGTTCTGTCTTATGAGTGATTAACAGTAAATATAAAGGTCTACCATCAAGGGCCTCAATGGCCAAGGGTGTCTTTTTCTTTCTTAGGGGGTGGTAAGTGGGTCCTGACAAAACCTCTGTCTATAAAATTATTAGCTGCTCCAGAATTTACTAGTGCTAAAACGTCTATATACTTCTCATCCCAAGATAAGGTGATAGGGAGAAGTAATCTTTTATGAGGCAATAAAGGGGATTCTGATGTCACACTCAAGGCCGGTCCCCTGAGCGATCTTAGATGGACAGTTTTACGGACGTATAGGACAAATCAATCTAAGATGCCCCTTCTGGCCACATTATAAGCAGAACCCCTCTGTTTTCCTATACTATATCTCAGCCTTAGACAATTTGGTCACCCCTAGTTACATGGGCTCAGTATCTGTAGATGAAGAAACATCAGGAACTGAGGCTCTAGGGGTTATGGTAACAGTAGGATGTCTAAGTCCTCTGTTGGGCTCTTTCCCTTAGCTGACTGTCAATTAAATAATCGATAAGGTGTTCTGGAAGATCTCTGGCTGCCACCTCATCCATGATGTTATCATTAACCCCTTTCCATGAATGCAGAAACCAAACCATTATTGGTCCAATCCACCTCAGAGACTAGACTGCGGAAACTAATAGCATAATCCGTTGTGAATCTGTTTCCCTGCTTAATCCTCATGAGATTTAGCTGCACTCTTTTCTCTGTCAGGTGGATCAAACACTTTCCTGAAGGCTTTTACAAAGGTCTTGTAATCATAAACCAAGTCCTTATTTGCCTCCCATAAAGCATTAGCCCATTCCAAGGCCTTGTCGGTTACTTGGTGCATAAAGAAACCTACCTTGGACCTTTCGGTGGCAAAAGACCTGGGAGACGTTTCAAAATGAAACTCTATCTCTATCTCTAACTCTATCTATCTAGTTTATAAACCCTCAACAACTCTTAGGATCACCACCATTTCTAGGAGGTGGTGTCAGGTTTGTGGTCATACTGTTCTGACCAGAAGCTTCAATCACCACAGGCTGTGGAGGCATAGCTGCAAGGTTTTCAGAAGAAAGGTGGGCTGTTCTGGCTAACAAGGTCTGGAAGCCCTGAGCGAATTGATCCATTCTGGGGTTCATTTCCTCAAACTTAGCCTTGCAAGGATTCTGTGGAGCTCCCATTCCAGCAGGTCCATGGCCCTATCATAAATGTCACAGGAGGCTTACCCCAACACATAGGAAAGTGGAAACCCACAAAAGGTGGATCAGAAAGACGTATTACCGAGCCTTAGAATGGCCGGACTTAATGTATAAAAAACATAAGACTTCCTTTTCCAAGATTGTATACAAAGCCGGGTCAGGATACCAGAAAATCACACATCAGATATGAAGCCAAGTCAGGATACCAGAAATCACAAGTCAAATTTAAAGCCGGGTCAGGATACCAGAAATTACAAGTCAAATACGAGCCGAGGTCAATAACAGGAATACAAGAGAGACATATATACAGCACTAACGTGTATCAGGACAGAAACGACAGGGCAATGAGTAAGGCCATAAATAGGTTTAAAAGAGTTCCCATTGGTCCATGTCATCTCTGAGACCCCAAACAGCATGGGGTCGCCTATATAAAGCAGTCTCTTTAACCCCTTAAGGGGACACTCCAGGCACCCAGACCACCCTTAACCCTGCAAGTGTAATTATTGCAGTTTTTATAAACTGCAATAGTTACCTTGCAGGGTTAATTCCTCCTCTAGTGGCGGTCTATGAGACAACCACTAGAGGGACGTCCGTGTTCTTAGAACACGAAAAGTGTTTTAAACGACGCTGGACGTCCTCACGCGCTTGAGGACCTCCAGCCTCCCCGGAATCCCCATAGGAAAGCATTGAATATTTGAATAATGCTTTCCTATGGCGAGGTCAAATGCGTGTGCATGGACATTGCCGCGCATTAGGTCTCCCCGCCGGCTGACGTTGGCAGGGTAGGAACGAGGGCGGAGCCTGACCCAGCGCCAAGGGACATCGACGCTGGATGCAGGTAAGTCAGTGAAGGGGTTTTCAACATGAGATGGGGATGGTAAGGAGGGGGGCACTGCAGCGTCCTGCAGTGCCAGGAAAATGGATATGTTTTCCTGGGACTGGAGAGTCCCTTTAGGACTGAGCCAATTGTACAAGTTTAGATCAAAACGTAAACAAAACCTGGAATTTGCGCTATATGTGGCTCAACCATAATTCACCTCTTATATTTTAAATGCACCCACACTTATTATTATATATAATTTTGTTCAGGAGAAATAGGGTGTTAATGTCACATCCAATATTTATATATAAAACATAATTTAATATGAATAAACTATAAATAAATGTGAGATATTAAGACTTTAAAAAAAAAAAAACTTTTAGTTCTGCCTGGCGTTTTAACTGTGAATGTCATACTGTTAGTGGTTACAGCAATAAAGTACACATTTGTATTTAGCAATGTCTTATGAGTAAAACAGTACCCCCCATGTACAGATTTTTTGGTGTTTTGGAAAGTTACAGGGTCACATATAGCATGATTAATTTTTCAGCATATACACATTGAAATTTGCAAGATTATGTTGCCATTCAGACCATATGGTAGCCCAGGAATTAAAATTACCCCCAGGATGGCATACCATTTGCAAAAGACAACCAAAGGTATAACAAATGGGGTATGTCCAGACTTTCTTAGTAGCCACTTAGGCACAAACACTGGCCAAAGGTAACGCTCATATTTGTTTATGAAAAATGCAAAAAAACTAAATTGAACGCTAATTTTGGCCAGTGTTTGTGACCTGCAGGCACTGCATAAGCTGGCTATTCCAGGCCTTGTGATTGCGATGACCCCGCGATCACATGAACCGGAGGGCCGGCTCGGGTAGATGGGGGCTGCCTGAGCTCCCAGGATCACAACCGCCGTCGGGGACCCGGTAAATACAAAGGATGGCGGGGATGTTCTATGCCGCCCTCCGGCGTTTAGAGCCACCCCAAAAAGGACAGCATAGAACACCCGCCGTCCTTAAGGGGTTATATAATTATATAAAGAGCTACAGTTCAGCCCGCAAACCAGCAGAGGGAGCAGTTTGCGGGACCAAAGGGGAGTATACTATTCAGGCCACGCGGCCCGAATAGTATACTCACTTTTGGTGAGGACCTAAGGACTACAGTAGTGAGAGGAGAGGTGCGGCGTGGGCACAGGTAACTTTGTGACAGGTTGCCATGTGTTCGTGGTACCCCCAGGTATTGGTAGCTGTCCTCGACTTAATCTATTTGGCCTACTGGTACTCGAACTCCTTCTGTCCAGATCTTCTCATCTTTCCTCTTTTTGCTATTATCCACATACACTTCTCTAGTCCAAATAACATTCCAATGTCCTTGATGTATATCCTAGTGAGGTGGATTAGTGAGTCAATGCCTCGCTCATTCTTGGCATACAGCTTGATGTCATCCATGTAGAGTAGGTGGATGATGGTAGCTCCATGCTTGATCCTGTATCCATATCCACTCTTCTTGCTGATCTGGCTAAGGGGGTTGAGGCCTATGTAGAACAACATTGGAGATAGCGCATTACCATGGTATATTCCACATTTGATGTTAACTTGTGTTATTGTCCTGAAATTGGCTTCTAGAGTTGTTTTACTCCTGTCCATCAAGTTCTTGATGAAGTCTCTTAATGTCTTGTTGACCTTGTATATTGCCAAGCATTCCAATATCCATGCATGTGGCATTGTGTCATAGACTTTCTTGTAGTCAATCCAGGCTATGCACAGGTTGGGCTATCTGGTCTTAAAATCCTTTTTGCTTGATCTAGCAGTAGTTTGTGTTTTGATCCTCTGGTGTTTCCAGTCCCCTTCTGAGTATTGCTCATATATTGACTCATATGCCCATCAATCTTGGAAGCTACGATGCCTGACAGGAGCTTCTATGTTGTGGGGAGGCAGGTGTTTGGTTGATAATTGGATAGTGTTGTTTCCTTGTGAGAGTCCTTCATGACCAGTATTATTCTGCTTTGTGTTAGCCAGTCAGGGTGGGAGCCTGTTAGTAGATGGTTGGTTTGTGCTGCTAGGTGTCCATGCAGTGCTGTTAACTTCTTTATCCAGTATGGATCATGTCAGGTACTGGGGCTGACCAACTCTTCATGCATGTTGCTCATTGTTGGATATCTTCAACTGTGATGGTGAATGGTTTATGTTCAGGCAGCATGCAGTAGTCTGCTTTCAGGTCTAGTATCCACTGGGCCTTGGTGTTATGAGAGGCTTCTTTTTCCCAAATATTCTTCCAGTACTGTTCAGTCTCTGCTCTGGGTGGGTCTTGGGAGAATATGTGGTGGTTACCCTGCAGCTGTACATACACATTGGATGGTTCTTTGATAAAGAGGGCATTGATTCTCTTAGCCTCTGCTTCTCTTGTGTATCTGCTCAGTCTGGTTGCCAGTGCGGTCAGTCTTAGCTTAGTTGTTTCTAGCGCCTCTGGCATGGGCATATCCTTGTACTTCCACAGTAGCCAGGATCTATCTCAGATCTTTTCACCTATGTGAAATT